TTCTGTACTCCTTCTCATTCTCTATATTCACTAAAAGCGTGGGAAATTATATATAAATATGATATTCCGTCTACGCAATTTTCGTAAAAAGGTGTACAAAGTTTTTGCTTCACGTATTAATATATAGAGATATTTGATTTGAGACACGATTTTATTTCTCTGATGTCAATTATTCTTACAAACGGTGTAGTAGGTGTTGTCTGCAATAATTACTTGTTGAATATCGAAAGCCTTTGTCCGTCTTATCGAAAATGTGCTTCCAAGCTCACGTCGCTAATAACTCTGTTATTTCTTTGTATCACTGCTTTGACTCGCTTAAAAACGGCGATGCGTTTTCTTAATAAATAAATAATAAGTCAAAACAGTAAGTAAAATAGATATATATGTATTTACTAAGCCTTATTTAAAATCTTAACTCAAATTTTTTTATCAATAGATTCTGTTCCGTGGTGTTTGAGACCTTATCCTTTATAAAAGTATACACCCTGTATCTATAGATATTGAACACCCTGTATAATATTTATAAAGGCACATTCTTATACGATGATGTCGGATACATCCTATAGGATCTGATGACTTGCACTATTTTATTTAGAGAAATATACCAATACGAATAATTTATTTTGATTTCATATTATTGGAACGAAGTTCCTTATCGCGCGTTGTGAAAGGGGGCTAGACGGAAAAAATTCTTACGAAAAGTTGTCACGACACTTTTTAGATCCGTCATTCTGACCAATCAACGTGTAGGCGCTGATCGCGTGACATTGCTCGTATCCGATTGGTCCGCGTAATGAGTACAGTTTCTCGAGATAGCGTTTCAACAATAGTAATTTAGTTCATAGTATTGTTTTTTTCTTCTTCATAATGCCGTAATTTATTATTATAACTTAAAAAAAAAATTACATTTCCTTCACTAATTAATCGAAAGGAACTTCGCTCCATCCGGGTGTCCCTTGACACCTCTGAAGTTTTTATATAATAAAGAAAAGTAACATGTTTGATATTAAAGTTAATTGATGTTGTTTTAAGATTATCGAACTACAGATCCCAATAATTGCAAGCTGATTGCGTTTTGAGGTAATCTGTTTTAGTTAAAATGACGAATACCGCTTCTACTAAAGTTAGTGAAAATATATTATAATGCATAGCTATTTATCGATAACACCGCTATAAACAATGATCTTCCTTATAATAAAGATATAATAATCGTATTGTTTGAAATGTAAATCTTAAATTATTGTATACTTTTAATCAGATTATCATGTGAAAATATCGCGATACTTAATTATTATGTAAATATATTCTCTAAATAAAGAAACATTTGAAGGACTGTCTGTTTTCTTTTTTATGATTATTATTAACGGTCGTCTGGTGTAGTGGTAAGTGACATAGTCACTACACAAGGGCTCGCGGGTTCGAATCCCGCCAAGGGAAGATATTTGTATGATAAATATAAATGTCTTTTCCAGGGTTATGGATGTATATTAAATATATGTATGTGTATAATAAAAATCTTACATTTATTTCCGTTATCTGGTTCCTGTAACACAAGTTCTTTACGAACTTATCACGGGACCAGTTAACGTGGCGTGATTGTTAGTAAATATTTATTTATTTATTTATATTTATAAAAGTTTTTTTTTTTTTAATACACCCAATATAACATTAAAATTGGGCGGGGTCAAAAGTTGACAACCTTGTCAACGAAGAGTCAAACATACTTAAAAACATAATTGAAACTTATTCAGAGCAATTTTTTCTAAAATATATTTTTATAGCCTTGTTTAAAATAAAAGTGTGTGTGTGTGTGTGCAAGTCACACACGGTAGAAGTGAAACTTATAAATAAGATATAGATATACTCACTATCCCAGTACACAGCAGCATACATAATATGGACAATGTTTAGTAGACGATAGTGGGGATGCCACGAAGGGTCGCACAAAGAGGAGACCGAGAACGTCTATTATGTTCTATCTCATTCTCTCGCCGGCTGAATCCTATACACTTATGTGTTTTGTGTCTCTATGGACTTATTTTTTCGTTTCATCGAGTTTGAAATCACGATTCTAAAGAAGTTTCACTTCAATAAGTTAACTCCTCTATCACAAAGCTAGATAATAAGCAATATTCCGTGCCTGAACTGAACATTTTGCGGAAGAGTCGCAGCCGATAAGTGAAAGATCCTCGTGGAGCTCTTGGGCCGCGGGTTGCTGATCTACGAGACAACCTTTCATGTAGGTAGCGGACTTGTGAATGAACAATATCCATGACAGCTGTTTTTGCTTTAGAAACAATTCTCTAACACTAGATTGTCCAGTTGCAGCACGCCAGTCCAGTTGTATTCAGTCAAGGTCTCAAAGGGAATTAATTCTCTTTATTTATATAAAGAACTAGCTGTACCCGTCCACTTCGCTGGGCATTTAAAATTAATTATTTCTCACCCCCACAAAGATTCTCATCATTAACGCCCCCGCAACTTGTGTGTAGGGGTCCCAACACTCATATAAATATAGACTAACCATTGATTATATGTATTTTATACATGAATACCAAGGTTAAAGTTAATCGGATGCACGGTTCAGTAGTTGTAACGGAACATCCGTAAAAACCACTGTAGATTTATATATTAGTATAGATTTACTACCCTGATCTTTTCATTTACATGCAAACATCTCAAACACACTTTGGAGTATTAAATAAAACACAATCATACAAATACTATTTATTCAGCGAGTCACAATAGGAATATAAACGCAACACTATATTAATGTTTAAGTCTTTGCGAACACGCCACCCCTCGGCCGCTTCCCATAACAACACCAAAAGCAAAATATTCCAGAAATCGTCCGAAATCCGTGAAAAATAAGGCCTGAACTTAGAAATATGTACATGAAGTATCGAATAATATTCGAAGATATAAAACTGTTATTTAGATAATGTTTCATTTCAGAGTAGCAAGATCATATTAATATTATGATTAATGAAATATTCCGTTTTTTCGTGTTGCCTTCCTTCAGACTTCCAAATTCGTAACAGTTACATATATATATACTTATAATTTCAAATATTGAGAGAAAAAAATCGAACATCGGCTGCACGCACGAAAAAGTGTCACGTTCCGCCTGAGTCCGAGCGTGCAAGCGAGAGGCACGATCAGCCCAAGCGTCGGCTTGTGACACATTTATCTCTGTTCTCGCGTGACGTCAGAGCTAGTAGATTGAATAGTTCTGCTGATGACATCACGTAAAACTATCGTCCGTAAACCGTCTTCAAAGATAACTATATTTTTTTTATAAACAAATACAATCCCTCTATTTACTTATCGAAATTACTCAATCACACAATACCCACAAAAGCATTATATCGTGAAGAAATTATATAAAAAATTATTGTAAGTAAATGCAAGATTATAAGTATAACGAATACAACTATTGCTATAATTTAATTTCTATATAATACGCATGTCTCAGTATTAAAACACCTAAAGTTCACTCAGCGAATAAACTAAAACATGGCGATACAATAGTAACAGGAATGCAATTTGTGAACACATCAGATAACGCGATCTAGTTAATTACTATTTAGGTTCTAATTTGGTTAAACAGAGAAAAATCATTAATTCTATAAGTAGTCAACAGCATTTATCTTTAGATAGTATTAGTAAGAATAGATGAGAAGATACAAATTTGTTTTCTTGTATTAATATTAAAGTCTTACTTTGTAAACCGAACTGTGATTTAAAATTCCATGTTAATAAACATAATAATAAACAATTACTATTTATTACAAATGAGTCGACTATTATCAACTTTTGGACAATTATTGGTAAAACAGAAAAACGAATTATTGACTTTGTATTCCATTGGCAGTCACAAAACTCTTCTGAACGACATCTTAGATAAATAACAGGTTAAGTATTAACCTTTATTTAATGCAGGTTTTGAACCGTATTCTTTGAAGGAGACGATTATATTCAAATCAATCTGTATTGACATATCAATAACATTTTTTTGTCCAAATACACAGATTGCCACCTTTGATAATAGACGACTCAAATAAAACAAAGGATACAAGATATTTTTATATTTTTTTAATAATTAAAAATCTCAATTTTAAAACAATATCATTCACATACAAGTGTAATATAAGACACACAACACACGGTGCGCGAGACAAAACTAAATGCAGTGTTAAGGCAAAACAAACATGCCAACGGCAATGTCATAGTCAGTTGACTCCTTTTATTGTGTATAAAACGAACAAACACAAGTTTGTTTTAAAAGAATGTTTAATTAATCACAACTCATTAATTTTCAATTAAAAAATTTAGCTCTTCCCCAACACAACAGACGCGTATGTCAAATTAAATTCTCATTAAATATTATTTTTTAACGATAACCAACCTACAATTTTTTTTTTTAATTACATTATATTCCGTGAGATGCTAAAAAATTACAATTGTCGATTTAAAATCTATTAAATGAGTAATTCATCCTCAATACAAAAGGCTATTCCGAACGAGATTTATGAATAATACTAAAGCAATTGTAATTTTTGTATTTTGGTGTTTTTTTTTCAAACAGAAAACTCATTTTTCTTGCCGCATCATGTATACATAATTTAGTCTAATAAATTTGTCATATCTTTTAGAGTTCTTTTACTTTCAAACATTATTACAAAGAAAAATCAGTTATATATCGACGCTTGAAAGGCAAACGTGACTAAGCGACAATAACTGCTTTGTACATAAATGATAGGCAATAACCATTTTCGATGCGCAAAAAAATATATATTTCTAGGTCTATTAAAATCATTTCAATCCTACAGCTAGATTCGTTAAAATAGAATTTTTTTCAGGTATTTCTCCTGTATATTTTAAATTAATTTCTACATTAAATTAGTCTACTGTAAAGTTCATGCATTGTCGCTTTTTTTTATTGCCTTTGTAGGCAGACGAGCGTACGGCCCGCCTGATGGTAAGTGGTTACCGTCACCCATGGACTTCAGCAATGCCAGGAGCAGAGCCAAGCCGCTGCCTACTGCTTAATACTCTTTTTTATTAGTCACGTTTGCCTTTCAAGCGTCGATATAAACTGCCTAGTATATTATTCATAAGCCTCGCAACTATTAAATTGCAAGTAAGATATTAGATATGGAACCGCAAGCAGCTAGTTAGTAAGTGTTCGTAAGTCGCTCTCTGGTGGTGCGGCGTTACTTCAGTCAGCCTTCCTTGGTCTGCGTTTCCGAGCCTCTGGTTTGTCGCTGGAGTCCTTGTCCGCTGGCTTACTGTCTCCGGCCGCTTCGGATGTCTTCTCGTTCTCATCTTCGGAAGTCTGTAAGTCATTATGATTATTTTAGAATCAATGAAACGAAACAATATGATTGGGATAGTAAGCCAAGTTTGAAAATCATTTAAGGGACAATTTTTTTTATGTTTTGTGTAAAATTTAAACAATCACGGAATCAAAGCAGATAAGAGATTCATTCATTTAATTATTCCAACCTTTTTATTTCTTAGTCTGGTGGACGAGCTCACGGCAAACCTGGTGTTAAGTGGTTAGCCCATAGACATCTACGACGTAAACACGCCACCCACTTTGAGATATAAGTTCTAAGGTCTCAGTATAGTTACAACGGCTGCTCCACCTTTCAAACCGAAATGCATTACTGCTTCACGGCAGAAATAGGCAAGTTTGTGGTACCTACCCGCGCGGACTCACAAGAGGTCCTACCACCAATTAACTATTCCAACCTTTTATTTTTATTTCTTTTATTGCCTTTTATAAGGCTAAATACCGGCTACAGCAGATTTGACAGTGAGTGGTTACGTCAATATGGATGACAGCACTACTCATGGTTACCCACTCACGGATGTCAGAAATTATTGCACCATCAAGCTACTGCCTACTGCTGAAGGCTCTTGAAACCTACCCTCCCGAAGGACATGTCATATCACTCAAACCATGGTACGTACTCAGAGCATGTGCCTAGTGCACACTTGGTAAAAATGAAATTGTTAAATATATAAATTTTATCTCATTCTCTAAGATTTCTATATTAGTGGCACTTCTAGTATACAAGTGTCATAGCACAACACTGCTAAAATAAATAATAATAAGTTCTAAAGTTTTGAAATACTAAATATTACCCATCCAAGTTATGAGTTGAGATTCATTATATATTTTTTCTCTTCAAAATTCTCATTCTTTTTTATGCGATAATATTTCTCTGAACAATGCCTAATGTTTATAGAACAAAAAAAAACCTTTTAAATACTTAATTGCAGTCACAAGTCCACAGTAGAATTTGAATTCAGGCAATTTTACAAAAACAAGTGAATTTCTTATAGCATCTCATTTATAACCTGAAAATTTGTAAGTTTAAATAATGACCCATTAATTTAAGATATAATTTTACTAATTTGGCGAATCCGGAATAACGCCTCAAGGTTACTAGAATAGGTAGGAAAAAAAAGTGTATATATATCGACGCTTAAAAGGCAAACTACTAAGTGACTAAAAGACTAAGCGACGATACCAGCTTTGTTCATAAATGATAGGCAATAACCATATTCGATGCGCAAAAAAAATATATATCTAGGTCTATTAAAATCATGTCAATCCTACAGCTAGATTCGTTAAAACAGTTTTTTTTCAGGTATTTCAACTTTAAATTAGTCTACTGTAAAGTTCACGCATTGTCGCTTAGTCACGTTTGCCTTTCAAGCGTCGATATATATAATGTTGTAAAGCTCACACTTACATCGCTGGGAGAGTTCTTCTCAGCGTCACTGTTGGGAGAGTTTTCAGCGTCATCCAGAATGTCATCATTGATCAGCTCCTGCAATAAAACAAATAAGTTCTAATTTAGATTTAAGACAACATAACTGCATCAGTTGCCATCATTAATAAGCATCCACATGATCAATGTTTCCATGATCACCTGAAGCTTGACTCAATCAGTAAGTATCTACAGTCGGCATCATTTCGCCACTTTGAAAAGACGGCACGACATGAGAACCCTCTTGTCGTGGCCCCAGGGAATTACATACCCGATCCTGTGGACCGAATGGTAAACAGTCGACGTCGCACTAAGCACGTCATTACGGATCCTCCCGATCCATTAACGGTGCTTTTAGGCACCACAAGCACTGGTCACCGTCCTCGCAGAACCCGTCGCTTGCAACGTAGGGCTCGACGAGTAAATTAACCCACAGACACAGCCCACTGAGTTTCTCGCCGGATCTTCTCAGTGGGTCGCGTTTCCGATCCGGTGGTAGATTCTGCGAACCACTGCTCTTGCTTGAGGTTTGAGCCCCGTGAGCTTACCTACACGTCAAGGGAATGCTGATATAGCCTCTCAATGCTATCAGCATAGGTAGAAAAAAATCTATGTTAGTTTGATTTGAGACTTATCACAGTCGCATCCCTCGATATGACTCCTGCTTTTCACAGCAACCTTTTAGTTTTTAATTCTAATGTTGAAGTTCAACGAGATAGGCACCTGTTCATCATCAGATTTCTTGCCATCGTTGTCGCCACGTGCTAGCTTCTCCAGTTCAGATCTCGATATGAACTTCTTGTCGACTTTCTGAGGTGGATGCAGGAAGTCAATCACGCAGACTAAAATCTGTAATAATTTCATTTTATTGTAATTAAACTGTAGATATACTCCGCGCGCGAGCTCCGAGGATTCGGGGGCTGAGGAAGCGGGCGGGCGTGCACCGCGCCCGACCGTCACTTCATACCCCGCACTCTCCCAGTACTAGTGTTGACCTTAACGTGAGAGTACGCTTACCGACTCGTTGTTTTTAATTTTGCGATAGCAGTGTTAATTACGTGTGATTTCTAATATAAATATTCTTACACTTATAAGTCTTTTTGTTTGCACAAATAGCTATTTAATTTGATGAAAAAGGAATGGCGAGCATAATAAACATGTCTTAGCATTAGAGAAACATTACTGGCAAAAGGAGGGCTTAATGGAGGATGGTGTCGAATCATTTATTATTGAAGTACGTGAAGAGAGTGTCAATAGTACATCAAATTCTTCAACTACTGATTAATCTGATTGCGAGAGTAATTAATAAGATTTCACGTGCATTTTGTTCAATACAAATCAGTTCATTAAATGAAATTCATACGTGATCAATTGTTTTATTTATTTATTTTAAGTACATAAAACTATTTTATAATTTACACTCGCACGGAGGCTTAAGATGTGTTAGATATCGATACCGCAATATCGACTAAATACAACACTAGCTCATTACGTCAATATTCCTTAAAAATCCTCGGAGCTCGCGCGCGGACAGTATATGAGGATCTATATGGGATGACATAAAGTAGTAATATCGTAATATTAAATAAAGGCCTAATATTTGTCTGTTTAGTTATTTAACCGATAGAGGCTGGCAGTCGACAAGCTGAAACAGAGTCACGATCCTCAGCAATGAGGGAGCGATGGAGAAGAAGTTATTTATAATCAAGAAGCTATGTGCCATTCACATATCATTTATTTTAAAATTAACATTGCATACAATGTAGTAATAAAGTTCAGCTTTAGAATTGTCATTTTTTTAGTGTTATTGTATTACGAACCTCCAACACTACAATTGGTCTCCATTTTTTGAGAACTGCTCCACTGTATCCGGTATGTGGGATACAACACATAACCAACCATCAATATCATATTGCACATGTCACATTCACTATGAGAAACTTGGATGTGTGTGTATTTCAATAGAATACCACAAGGATAGGTACCACCCAGCCTATTTCTGCCATGAAACAGTAATGCATTTCGGTTTGAAGAGCGGGGCAGCCGTTGTACTGTTAAAAGTGACACCTTAGAACTCATATCTCAAGGTGGGCTGTACATGTCTATAGGCTCCGGTAACCACTTAACACCAGGTGGGCCATGAGCTCGTCCACAGATGTAAACAATAAGTAAAAAAGCTGAAAGGGTTTATCTAGAAAGGCAACTACTGTGTAATGTGCCTGGAGGTTATTAGTTTTAATTTATAAATGAAACACATCTTTTATAACTTACCAATCCGACTAGAGCACCGACGAATATTGTGGCAATGGCGAATATAAGGTACGAACCCCATGATGGTAACCCGTATGCTTCCATAAGCATATTGTGGACACCCTGTATTCAAATAAAATAATGTATTATCTACACTCATACAATAATAAATACTACAAATTGAAAGAAAAAAAATAGCTTATATGTGAGCTGTCTGTGCAAATATTTGTGATACCTGATGGTGAGTTTTGCTCAAAGATAAGCAATGTCAGGAGTAGAATCAAGTTACATGTAATTGCATACTTCAATGATTTATTATCCAAAATGGCTGTACATACATACCTATCCTAGCATTTGCTTTTGAGTGGAAATATGGGTTAAATGCAACGGCATATTATTATACAGAATTTATCTTGAAATAGATAATTAAGAATGTATAATAAACGGTATAGAATCTATGTCGCCACTTAAGTAGGTCGATTATTTAATTACAAACCATTTATGATTGATACTCTGTTAATCTTGTAAAGGTACAATCATCAATAAGCCATAATGATAAGTTTTTTGAATATATTGTTGGTAGGACCTCTTGTGAGTCCACACAGATAAGTACCACCGTCCTACCTATTTCTGCCGTGAAGCAGTAATGCGTTTCGGTTTGAAGGATGGGGCAGCCATTATAACTTTACTGAGACCTTAGAACTTATATCTCAAGGTGGGTGGCGCATTTACGTTGTAGATGTCTATGGGCTCCAGTAACCGCTTAACACCAGGCGGACTGTGAGCTCGTCCACCCATCTAAGCAGTAAAAAAAAAAACATTGAATAAAAAGTTGCAATAACCAACCCGAAGTGCTTGACTCATCTTGAAGAACTCAGCAACCAAGGACATTTGCAGTGAGTCAGGTGCCTTCCATCCCGGGATGGGATCGGTTTGCTTCCACTTTTTGTTCTCAACAAAGGTCAGCATGGATTCTACATCACGTGGACCCTTGTACTGACGAAACTCGCCATCTTTCACACTGAAATTTTTATTTGATTTCAAATTATGCAAGTTTAAGGCTGAAAGTATATTAGGGATTCTTGTGAAAATTTTAACTGTATTTCAAGTGTGATTTAAACAAATTATTTATTGTTATGTCTTTTAACAAAGGTTCTCAAAATTGTTGCTTTATGAACGATAACATTAATGATACTTAATTATTTTTTCATTATATAATTTATTAGTACCGTTGTTACACAGAGTAGTTTCCCTTGCCGATTTTTGGTATTTTTACTCACTGGAAAATAGTAGGCAGTGCGGTAACAACAAATCTTCCACTTAAACCAGGCGAGTTAGTGACGTCAACTGCAGCAGTACGTAGAGGGAGAGAGTTTTTGGCAGCTCGTGTAGAGAGCTCCTTCCAAGCTGGCGCTAGAGCATTGCACGCTGGACACCACGGGGCGTAGCTGTTTAGATAATTCTTTATTAACATAACACAAATTAGCTATATAAGCGCTTCTGATTACAGTCATATGGACCTATTTCTATATTGCAAATGTTTCTTAATTTCTCATTTTATAGTTTACATTTAAAAGAAGCTCACTGTTTCTAGTAACGCCTTAGTTTAAATTGCAATAGCTTTATTAAAACAATGAACTGGAATGCGGTATATATCTATTAATATCTGATTTCATTATTAAATTAGTTTTGAGTCTTGACAAATATGCATTTGGTGGGCAAACAATTCTTGTAACAAAATTTAATGTAGTGTACAGAATCAGACATCCACTGCACTAGCATCAAGTAGTGTGACGTAAAACATGTTTACAGATGACTTCCACAGTGAAAGCATAACATTGTGTATTGAAAAGTAGACTTGAAAAAATTTACATTTTTGTAATTACTGTTACCTATTCTATGAGCATGCATGGGAAGGTAGCCTGCATATTTCTGCAGCAAAACAGTAATACCTTCTGCTTTGAAGGGTGGGACAGCCATTATACCTGACAATTGAGACTTATGGTGGTATTAACATGGGTGGCGCCGTGTACATTATGATGTCTATTATCTCCAGTGAACACTTAACACGAGCTGAACTATGAGCTCACACAAAACTAATTCACGTTCAAGGCTAGTCTTATCTTACACATAGTAAGTATAATTCTTAGTGATGTAGTTAGAACATGCAACATTACTTCTAAAGAGGTTAGCATATTTCCTACAATAATCTTTGTATTCTTTCTCGTTTACATATACAATGCATTTTCTTTGCACATAAATAACGTGGGTTGCGATTATGATTTTACTAAAGCAAGAACAGATATGATGCAATGTTTTTTGTATCAGATTCTAATATAGGAGTTGCTGAGTCATATTTGATTTTATTAGCAATGAATCATTAATTACTATTACTAAGTGCTATTGAGCATTTGTATGGCTGTGTGGATTTTTCTGTCGGTTAAACTGTTATTCTCTAAATGTGAGCACTTAAAACATCACGATAAGTACATAACTTGATAAATAGTAGTATCTAGTAACTGTTTAAATACTATGCTGTTTTTTTTTCAACGACCCAACTATACCGAAGGAATTTTTAGGTACTCTTCTACTTTACTACGTTTTGAAAATGGTCCTTATCGAGTTCTCAAGAAACTAAAATACCTACATACTGTAAAGTTATTTTGTCCCGTTTAATGGAATTTTAAGTTTAATCCGTCTTAAAGTCGTTCTTAGTATATTAAATATTGAATTTCTATTTTAATAGACTTATGCATCATGATATAAGAAACGGTTCTTTCGTGACCCCTTCAGCCTTGACGTGGTTAATGAACTTGGGTAGGACGAATGTATCAGAATAATACAAAACAAACCTTTTTAATAATTAAACTACACTATCAAATTATAAAGTCATTATGTTCTAAATCCCACCTGAATATAATGCGTTCTTGTAATTTATTGTTCTCGTAATTACTTCGTGGAAAAATGTGGAAAAAAAATGCGACACGTTTTGTTATAAGCCGGTAAGAAATTTTACTTACAATTCGAGCATCCATTCTCCTTCGAGGATTTCTTTCCAGTTGTTTTCATTTAGTTCTTTGTTTGCACTAGCAAAATCTATTGTCGAACATAATAATACTATGAAAGGAAAAGAAAAAATCAAAATTCTACGAGAAGCGTCGTAAACGCGCGCCATGTTTGATTTGTTTGTTGTGTTGCCAGCTCGAGCTCAACCAGCTGGCAGCTTTCGGTAATATTTATTATCCAGCCACACCATAAATATACCTGTAGCTATTTTACTTTTTAGTCTAAATTTACTTTATCACTATAGTTTATCGCTTTGATTCATATTCAGGATTGCTTGATATTCATTGAAATAATTTATACATCGCAGTTTATTGAAAAAATATCGGTTTTAAGCATGAAGTATAAAAAGAGTACACAAACATTAAGTTAGGTAGTGGATCGGATACTAATTGCAATCGGTGTTAGATCTGAAGTTTAATTTATAATTAAACATTTGAATCTATTAAAAATATTCAAAAGAAAGATACGGATCTCAAACTTATATTTATTTATTTATTTTTAAATTATACAAGTAAAACAACTTTAAAAGGAAAACATATATTTTGAAAAAAAATGTCTACATTGGATGATATTTCGTGAGTTTCCTTCATTTTTATTTTATTTTTTATTCCCTACCTATTCTTATACCTAAACCTAAGGGGCTATTCCAGTTACACACTGGCTGGTACATGAGCGTACGGAGCTCATCCTGAGAGAGTTGCTAACAATAGGCCCAGTAACAGCAGTCCTTCACAGAATGTAGTGCTGAATCGGAATCACGACTCACTGAGAAGATTCGGCGAGATACTGAATGGGTTATGTCTATGTGGATTTTAATAAAATTACCTACTTGAAAGGAAATTCTAATCCTGGCCAAACAGTGTTACTTTTTTAATAAAACTTTATTTTAATTCTGGTTTAAGATGATGCTCAAAAATGTTTTTTTATTTTTTATTGCATAGATGGGTAGACGAGCTCACAGCCCATCTTGTGTTAAGTGGTTACCGGAGCCCATACACGTCTACAACGTAAATGCCGCTACCCACCTTGAGATACGAGTTCTAAGGTCTCAGTATAGTTACAATGGCTGCCCCACCCTTCAAATCGAAACTGGCAGAAATAGGTGGGGTGGTGGTACCAGGACCTATCCGGGCGAACTCACAAGATGTCCTACCACCAGTTTTCCTCTTCGTCTGGTTTATTTTACAGTTTGTAAAATTTTGTGTACGGAAACATTTTTGAGTGCATTTGTGCCATCTATTGTAATAGTAAGTAAGCCATAGCGTGGTGAACAAATTTCTTAAACCTACAATTTGGTCAATCGTCTTATAGTATATCGTTAGATGTCACTCGAATCATTTATAGTTTTGTTTGAGTGACACTAGATGTCACTAATATATTCTAATTTTTAAGTACGTTATCACTTTTCTGCCTAGTTCTTTATTAGCCATATGTTTGTAAAATAATATGTTTTAAGTCCGATTTTTGTTTGTTTCCAAGTTCATTCAACATTCAATTTAATATTGTGATATTTTTATGGCAGTCACCTACTCTAACTTGGTTCAAAGGGCCTCGAACTCTTGACCCGGATCGATGACAGACGAAGCCGGCTCGCGTCTAGAAGCCTTACGACAGCGCTGCGAAACTACACCGACTCAATGTCGAATGTCATTAATAGGAACATACAGATAAAAAAAAATTTTGTTGTAAAATACTGACCGACGGAGATTTTGACGCCTTCAGCTCTAACGCTAAGGACAGGCTTATGGACACCGGTAACTACTAACTCGGCAAAGAGTTCGACGAGCAACCTAACTCATGCATCAGCCCGCTGAGTTTTTCACCGGATCTTCTCAGCGGGTCACGATTCCGATTCGGTAGCAGATTCATTCGCGAAGCAGTTGCTCTTGAGTTGTTAGGTCTCCTTTGGAGGCGCTCGGGCAGCTGTTAGCAAATCCCATCTCTCCTGGCTGAGCCTTTGCTCGCCCACCTGTCCTGGTGAAACTGGAAAGGCCTCTGGGCTTCCAGTAATCCTTCAATAATAATAAAAAGTTCTTTGGGAGATTGACTGCCCCACCCTTCAAATCGCATTACTGCATCGCGGTTGAAATAGGCGGGGTGGAGAAACCTATCCGGACGGGTCTACAAGCCGTCCAACTGTCAGTAATTACGCCAATTATTTCCGCTTTATTTTTATTACAAACAATACAGGTAACCTACCTTTTTATAACACGGTATTTTATAACACGGTTCTACTTTAACACGAAAAGAAAAATTAACCAAAAACATTCATATTTTTATTTATTACGTATTTATTATTCCTATTTTATTTAGTATTTAGTATTCCTTAGATCTCTATGAAATTATCAATAAAAGCGATTGCAAGATTTTGCTTTTCTAACGAGATGAAGATGACAACTTCAGTTCATTTTACTTCTGCATTGCCAATTGACGCGGAGGTCGATTTTAGGATCATTTTCGCATTTGAAGTCGTCGGCGTCATCGCTAAGACATTGCTTTCCATAAAAGCGATTACAAAAGAGACTTTGTGGGCAGCACACAGCACAAAACTTTTTAGATTTAAAAAAAAAAATTAGATAATATGAGGCCTATAGAATCAAAGGCAGCTAAACGCTATAATGTCGTGAAGTGGATTAACAATGGCTCTATTTTGTTTAGTTAATTGGACACGCTTTAGTGTTTTCATGTTATAACAAATGCAACTAAATCTCTAACAAATTCAGTTCAAAAATTTTATTTTTACTCATTACTAAATACTAATAAGCGAAGTTTTATCATTTAAAATTCAGATTATTAGTAATATTCTCATTCTTTATAAATCTGTTTTAAAATAAAGAATATCGTAGCTATCCGAACAAAGTTATTTCAGCCTGTTGCTGGCCCTAGCAAGAGCAGTACTTCGATGGATCGGGAGGATCCGTAATGACGTGTTTAGGGACGATTTTTGTAGTTTACCTGAATATTTGACAGACTTGGATTTTTTAGCTGCCTTTAATTTTATAGGCCTCATATGAGAAAATATAGGTACATAATGTTTACATACAGTGATTCTACATTTTGAAATCCCGGTGATTATCTTCTAATTCCGATCATTGGTCGAACCCTATTATCAATAAATGATTCAAATGAACGATGCAACACTGATATAGATCAATCAGATCCTTTGCGACACTTGTCAAACATCAAAATATTTTACGCGCGCTTTCGTGATGCGTCAAACATCTTGACTATTAATAGGGCTGATACTGAACACAATTGTAATAATTATTAAGTTAATAAGGTAGAGACCTTAATTACAATGATCCATGTTATACGATTTTCTGCTATAATGCTTATATTAGCACTTGCTGATCTTTTCTCGTGGGTAGCGTAAAAGGTGAACCATTGAACAACGGATACCACCATACATGCGTTCCTCTTTAAAAGGCTGGACAATGTTATTGAATACAATTGAAGATTTTCATCTGAAGTCTTGAGGTGGGGCGTTCATGTTGTGACTTCTAGGTTTATTTCGTACCTAATGCTGGTAACCTCGAGGGGTTGTGCAAGCTTCACAGCGGACGTGAGGAATTATTTGAGATCATTCCATCATCTCGTTTTTACCAGCGCACCGACCGCCACCGGAGTAGAGTTCAACCATATTACCTGGAGCCATTGCGTTCATCCACAGTGCGTTTCTAGAGATATTTTTTACTACGTACCATCCGGCTTTAGAATGAGCTCCTTCCTCTCTACGGTGTTTCCCAAGCCCTATAACATACCCTTCTTCAAACGAGGCTTGTGGAGAGTACTTAACGGGTGACAGTAACCACTCATCATCAGGTACCATCAGGGCCGTATGCTCGTTTGCCTATGAGGGCAATAATAAAAAAACGTTAGCGGCTATGAATTCTGGTAACCAATTAAATAAGTGTATTGTTAGCTTGTTCACTCATTTATGCCGTATTAAAAAAGCTAATGTACGACTGCAATGAATTATAACTACTAAAATCAGACAGCCCTATTGAAAATTCGAAATTCAATTTTGAAGTAGGTACGCCGCCACCGTGTCTATGGAGCATAACATTTTATTTTTAATTTCTCTAATATCGAGCAGGGAGCATAGATTCAACTTTTTTTTTTTAAATAATGTCATTGTTTGTGGACAGGGATTCTCGTATCTCGATCGTTTGTGGAATTTGGGAGCATGTTTTATATGTAGCAGTCATTGAGGTTTTTTTTCGTACATGACTTAGCGGTTTCCATACAATCCCTTAGTTATAATAATATGTAGATATACATCGCGATTGAAGTTTTTTTTTTAAATACACTAAGTAGAAATGATGCAAAAATAACATCCAAGTTATCTTTTTGTGAGTGTGTCAGAAGAATTTTTATATTTTTTTATACAGTAGCTATCAAAACGGCAAAGGGATTATTTGCTATCGTAGAATTTAGAAAATAAAATTCGCCTTCCGAAATACACACTGGGTTTAGGTCAATCGGACTTCTAACACTAGTAATCTGGTGAGTTTTGTGGATATTGCTGGACCCTGGCAGTGCAGAACCTATTACAGTGGCGGGAAAAAACTTTTTTTTAATATCTCGTCGATTTCTTTAGGCAAATTAACCTTCGAGTCTATTGAAAAAGTGTAGCTGTGTATTGTGTATCGACTATTCCTCGGGGAGTATTACTGGAGAATTGTTAGATTTAATCGCATTGTCTCTTTTATCATCAAACTTCCCGCCATCGGAGCAGAATGCATTTCTAATAGTGTTTGAGGGCATTATTTTTATCAGGAGCTATGCGACTCTGAAATAAACTATCCTGCTAGATTTTTTTTTGGAACGAGGTTTTAATAACTTTTGATGTAGCGAGTGGCTTCGCTGGTTCTGTCCACGAACCACGGAAGCTACTTACAAATGGGTCATGGAGGAATGGTTTTTTTTTACGATTGAGGGATTACTGGTGGCCCGGAGGCCTCTCCAATTTCACCAGGACATGTGAGGGAGGAATTGTCCGAGACTTCATGTTCTTTCTACGATCGTGTAGACTTAGCTTCCAAAGCCAGGAAATAAATACACAGATTGCAATAGTGCAATAGTTTACTGGTGGCAGGACCTCTTGTGAGTCCGCGCGGGTAGGTAC